ATGATCCAGATGATCCATGATGATCATCATGGATCATCTGGATCATCATGATCATGAATGGAGCATGATCATCATGATCATGCTCCATTCATGATCATGATGATCCATGATGATCCAGATGATCCATGATGATGATCATGATCATGCTCCATTCATGCTCATCATGGATCATCATGGATCATCATGCTCCATTCATGATCAAGATGATCATCATGAACATGATGATCATCTTGATCATGATGATCATCATGGATCATCATGTTCCATTCAGAGTCGTCCTCTGTGTCCTGTTGGTAAATGTCTTGTACCTGAACCACGTTGTCGTTTCTTCTCGTTTTCTTCTTGGACGTACCAGAGTGATTAATTTACGTTTGTCGTCTTGTTCGTCCCTCCTGAGTTTGCAGGTTTGGGATTTCTTTAGAAAATAAAACGTTATATTCCTGATAATTTTTTTTACGTTTGACTTCTTCCATCATGTTTTCTTCGTCCGGCCACAGGAAGTAGTAATGTTGGTGTCGTCTCCTCCTTCAGGCAGGAAGTCCAACATGGAGGAGGTCCAGGACGAGCTGGCCCACCGGCTGACTTTGGGTCGCAGCGCTCAGAAGAAGATCCAGGTCCCGTCTTCCAGCCTGCCGCCCCCCAGCGTCACCTACGACTCGTCTCCGCAGGAAGTCCGAGGCTGGCTGGAGGCCAAAGGCTTCAGCCCCGTGTGAGTCTTTGTGCTTTTACTGTGACGGGCTGCAGGAAGTGTGGAGCTCTTACTGTGGCGGTGTGCTTCCTTCAGAACCATCAGCAGCCTGGGCGTTCTGACCGGAGCTCAGCTCTTCTCTCTGAACAAAGACGAGCTGAAGACGGTTTGTCCCGACGACGGAGCGCGAGTCTTCAGCCAGGTGACCGTCCAGAAGGCGGCGCTGGAGGTGAGACACGCCCACTTCCTGTTTCGACCCTCAGGGCTTTTACTCTGAAAGTTATCATTTGAATCCGTTTCCAAACGTTTCAGAAAAATATGAGCAAACCTTCAGAATAAAGGTGTGAATTTTAGTAAAACAAATAAAATCATTTGTCCAAGAGTTCAGACATTTAGAGAAAACTTCTTTTGCCAAATTAAATTTTAAATTTATTTTGTAAATAACACCAATGATTAGAAACTCATAAATGTTGTTTGAGGTCAAATTTCACTATAAATCATCATCATCATCATCGTCGTTGTTGTTGTTGTTGTTGTTGTTGTTGTTGTTGTTGTTGTTGTTTTTATTGACTGCAGACGTTCTTGGTTTCAAAAATAAAATCCCATCAAAATATTTAAAAATAAAATTTATATCATTTCTGAAAATTTCTTTAAACCCAGAAACATCCTGAATATTTAAAAAATAAAGTAAAACTCTTCTGAACATGAAAATATTAAACAATTTAAATTTAACCCAAAAAGTCCAACATGAATAAAAACGTATTTAAAGTTAAAACACGTCTGAGATATTTGAGTTTGTTGTTCCTGTTGGAGGAAAACAAACAGTTTGAGTTAAATCAATATAAAGTTAATATACTGTAATAAAAGTCAGATATTTAGATGAAAACTGAAACATTGTAAACATCCAGTGTGAACATTTGCAGCTGTAAATTAATAACAAGATAATTTGTAGAGTTTAAATCTTGAATGAGTCTAAAGTGAAAGAAAAGTTCTGTTGGGTGAACGTTGGCGTCTGAATAAATAAAAGTTTCAACGGTCGGCGTTCTTTGAACCAGTCGAGCTGCACAACGTTGACTTCTGTTTATTTGTTGTTGTTTACACGTCAGTGGAGCCGCCTGATTGGTCCGTTAAAGACGTGCTGCAGCGAGCAGAGACGAGCTCGAGCAGACAAAATAACTTCATGTTCACATTTTTCAGACTTTGTCCACCAGGAGGCGGAGCTTAACTCCAAGCCGAACGTTCCTGATTTTGTCATAATAGTCCTTCAATAAAATGATCCATGAGAAGCTGCATCGTGTGGAGTTAGTTCGCTGAGGAGGAAACAAAGTTCTAAATTTACTCGTTATCATTTCAATTACGTCACAACGTCGTAAATCAGAAACTCCTTCAGGTTTACAAATCCCAGCATGCTTTGCAGCAGCTGACGGCTGTCCGGCCTGGAGGAACCACGCATCTCTCTAAAAACACTTTCTCCAGCGTTAGCAAAATTTCTTGTGCCGGCTTGTGGGCGGGGCCATGGAGGGTACCGCCCACATGAAGAGGGACTCTGGCTCCAAAAGACAAAGTGGATCAGAGTAGTTTACTGCGCGCCGTTTGTACCGACAGCTTTCGAGCGGGGGGGTGGGGGCTCGGTGTGAGTGGAGGCGGAGCTCTACCTCCACAGTCGTAGGATTTTAATTAGTGCGTCTGTTTAGCGCTACGTCATGCCGGCACTTTTCGACCGGGTGGGGGGGTTCTGTTCTGTTGACTGGGGCGGGGGGCGCACCGCTTTTATAATGGTAAGGGCAACTCTGCGGGACATTTTAGCTGGGGTAGGCGTCCATCTTTATTAACGTCTCCGATGAGACAAAACACCAGAAGAAGTCCAAAGATCTGGACTTCCAGCAGACTTGGTTCTGTCAGAATAAAAGTTCATATTTCTGAATAAAACACAATAAAAGCGCAGCATCTTTTGATCTTGACTGAATCCGGCCCTTGACTCAAACTAGGAGTTTGATTTTGGTCTCTGACCCCCCTAGTCCAAAGCCTCATTGGTCTTTAGTCTGGTTGGACCTGCAGGAGGCGCTGTTGACGGTCCTGAAGTGGACCAGGACCTCGTCCCTTCTCGCTGCAGTTAGGTTGTTTCAGGAAGCTGAAGATCTCTTCAGGATCTTCTGTGTCTTCAAGTTTTCTGTCCCCAGCTCTGGAAAGGTCTGGTGTGGTGTCTCTTCCCCCCTGCAGGTTTTCTTCTGACCCTCCTCTGATCTTCTGGTTGTCTTCCAACAATCTTTAAGGTATCGTCTCAGATCGGCATGTTCTTTGTTCTGTTGGCCAGAACGTCCGTGTCCCAGAGAACTCACTGGGCTAAGGTCAGATGGACCCGCGTCCAGTCAAAAACTGTTTCTTCTGAATAAAATACAGAAACTGAAGACCACCGGTGACTCAGACCTGATGAGACGCTTGTCTCATCTTGGACTATTCTTCCAGAGTTTAATCAGAGACATTATCATAGTACCTTCAGGGTTTTGGGGTTCAGGTTACAAATTTAGACCGTCAAGAAGGACCCATGTTGACTCAGGACTTTTATTGTCTCCAGGGTTCCAGTAGTTGACCCTTTGGAACTTGATGGTCTTTATTTGAGAGACTCTTTTGTTGTTGGACATGAATGTCTATTTTCAAATTGGTCTTTAGTCTCAGACCAAAGAGAACCCAGAACGTTCACCCCACATGAAGAGACAAAGGTCCTGCAATTCTCTACTTAAGGTTTTTGTCTCAGGTTTTGATGGTCTTAATTTTCACTGGAACTGGCTGCTCTTGATCTTGGACCACCAAGTCCCCCTGACTGGTTTGACTTGGGAACTAGTTAGTCTTCCTAATAAAGGCTTTGCCCATCTTGGGTAAGGACTCAATGGGACTCTGTAAGCTGTGTGGACAGACTTGGGTCAGTTGGTTTTTGGACACAGATCCATAGGGACCACTGAAGACCTGTTTGTCTTCTTGTGGGACATAAAGCTGCAGTCAGAAGGTTTCATCCGTCATCCTGTTCAAATAGTCATAGCCCCCTCACAGTTTATGTCCCTCGGACAGTTCTCCTGAACCTCAGACTTTTTGGCTCCTTGAACAAGGTTGATTTTCTGGACCCGACGTGTTTTTCAATCAGGCTGAGGTCTGGACTTTGGGTGGACCAGTTCTGACGTTTTATCTAACAGAAACCAGTTTTGTGTGGTCTTGTTGGACCCATCTGAGTCCAGGTTTCATTCATCCAGCAGCTTATGTGAGGTGAATCTGAACACTGTGGAGGAAGACAACCTTCACTGTTCCACAGCATGATGCTACCACCACCATGCTGGACTGTTGGTTTGGTGGAACTGGACTTCAGTTGTCCCTGAATGAACCTGAAAGTCTTGAGTTTGACGTCTGGATCTCATTATTCTTGGTTTGAGAACAGACTTGTGCTTCCTGCTGGTCTTGAAGTGACCAGGAAGTGTTCGTAGTGGGTCAGACTTGAGTCCTTCTTTACTCGAGCAAAGATCGGCTCAGTTTTTGTTCCAGACTTGGACCATTGTTATGGTTGCTGTAAATCCTGATTCTGGCCAACAGAACGAAGGTTAGATGTTGACGGTAGCAACAGTCCTCCTCCACCTTAAACTCTCCAAAGTGAACCCAGTGTTCCACTTCCTGTTTATCCTGACCCCCACCCTGTAGAGACCAGGATGTAGATCTGCTCTTAGCCTCACTCATAAACCAAAGTTAAGGTGTTCAAAGAGCCAGTAAGTATGAAGCTCAACGTCTTCAGCTGATTGCACAAGGGTCAAAGGTCAGCTGGATGGCAGATTCATGTTGGCTCAGCAGACCTTTGTGCAACCATCTGTCAGCCCACGGTTACCCAGCATGCCTTCTGATTCCAGCCGCTGAAGGTTCCTTGCTGCTGATGGACGCCTCTGGTTTCTGTTCAGAAGCTCACAGCAGATTTTCTACTTGGACCTTCTGGTTTGCAGGCGGGTTCTGGTTTTAGAGAGGTCTGTGGGAGACTCTCCAGGTTCATCGATTCCTCCTGAAGCTCATCTGCTGGTCAGGAGGTAAACCTTCTGATTAGTCCAGCTGGTCTGCAGAGAACTTCAGTCCAAACCAGAACATTTTCTCAAACGATCGTCATCATCGTCTGTGTGCCCGACAACAAAATTAAATCGGCTGATGTTGGAACGTGAGAAAACAAGTCGGACACCAGAGACGGTGGTTTTGTGTGTCGGGGACAGAAAGACAAGAAATGGACTGGGTCTGCACGACTTCACATCATCTTACATAGAAGGCTTAAGTTTAGCTGATCTGCACGAACAAACTGTGGAGCAAACACGTTCACTGAACGCTAAGGATACCAGCTGCTAATGGCATTAGCTGCTAATACTATCGGATGCTAATTGCATCGGCTGCTAACGGTAGGACAGTGAAGCTGAGCGTTGTTAAACAGTTGCTCCTCTGGTTCTGGTTCTGGTTCTGGTGTGAACTGTAGCTCAGGAGTGTCTGGAGGAGGAGATGTGAACAAACTGAAGCAGAGGTGAAGCCTCCCTGAGAGAGTCTCCTGAGATCAGATCTGGGTTTCTGTTTCTGGACTCTAACCACCTGTCTGTCTCCTCCTCATGTCCTCATGTCCTCGGTGTCTTCAACGTGTCCAGAAGGGTTCAGGCTCTGAGCTCCAGGAGATCATGAGGAGACGGCAGGAGAAGCTGGCAGCCATTACCTGTGACTCAGGGGTGGAGTCGTTTGATGAAGGCAGCATCCACTGAGCCCCCACCCATTGAGCCCCACCCACTCAGTCTCACTCATTGAGCCCCACCCACTCGGCTTCACCCATCAAGCCCCACCCATTGAGCCCCACCCACCCAGCCTTACCTGAGCTCCATCCACCCAGCCAGCCCCACCGATTGAGCCCCAACCAGACGCAGTCCTTTTAATTGTTCCACCTGCTGTTTTCCCACTCTTCGTTGTCAGGTGGCGACGGACCATGCAGAGTTTGTGGAGATCATGCGTCGCAGGCAGGAACTCCTCCGCTCGTCTCCATGACCTCTGGACCTCCAGTCAGGTCACAGATATGAATGTTCTGCCATGTTTGCCTGAAGTTCTGTGGAACAGTTCTGGGACTTCTGGTTCTGCTGCTCGGTGGCTGAATCCTGTCTGTTGATGTTGGAACGGCTGATCAGCTGCTCTTTGGGCCTCTCAGGTTGGATCAGAATCTTCAGAACATGGGACTTCAGTGAGAGAACGAGACGAGAACTAAACCTGAGGAGCTCAAACTGCAGCTGGTTCTGACCCGCTGGGCCCAGAGTTCTGCTGTTCACTTACTGTTTGTATTCAAATACATTTTCAGCTCATGAATGATTTAAAACTAGAATCAAATGTGTTGATTAAAAATGATCATTTCTAATAATTGTTTAGATATTGTGAATTTTTGACTCTTGAGTTCTGCTCCATCTGTTCTCTGAACGTAGCTTTAAGCTCCGCCCACCTTCACAGGTAACCTCTGAGTCTTTGGAGTCACTTCACATCAGCAGAACGACGGCGCTTCATCAGGTTCTCCTCTGAAGAACAGCCACACAATTATTTCACAAACATTTTAGGCAGCACGATGGCTCAGTGGTTAGCACTGTTGCTTCACAGCAAAAAAGATCCTGGGTTCAATCACCGGTTGGACCTGGGGTCTTTCTGTGTGAAGTTTGCATGTTCTTCTTGTGCTACATGGGTTTTCTCCGGGTACTTCAGTTTCCTCCCACAGATCAAAAAACATGCATGTTAGTCGGCCTTCAGACCCAGGCCTCCCTTGTAAAAGAGATCTGTGATCGAATGGGATTTGCCTGGTTAAAGAAAGGTTAATAATAAATAAACCTTCAAACAGAACATGTTGATGAGAACCAGCTCATTCTACCTGAAACAATTATTCATCCCTCAGCAACTACATCCAGAACACACCCTATTTTCATGTTCTTCAGATTTTTAACAATCTGTTAATGAGCTTGAGCACCGTTAACCTGCTGAGAGTCGTTAACTTGCTGAGAGTCGTTAACCTGCTGAGAGTCGTTAACTTGCTGAGAGTCGTTAACCTGCTGAGAGTCGTTAACCTGCTGAGAGTCGTTAACTTGTTGAGAGTCGTTAACTTGCTGAGAGTCGTTAAGTTGCTGAGAGTCGTTAAGTTGCTGAGAGTCGTTAACTTGTTGAGAGTCGTTAACTTGCTGAGAGTCGTTAACTTGCTGAGAGTCGTTAACTTGCTGAGAGTCGTTAAGTTGCTGAGAGTCGTTAACTTGCTGAGAGTCGTTAACTTGCTGAGAGTCGTTAACCTGCTGAGAGTCGTTAACTTGCTGAGAGTCGTTAACCTGCTGAGAGTCGTTAACTTGCTGAGTCGTTAACTTGCTGAGAGTCGTTAACTTGTTGAGAGTCGTTAACCTGCTGAGAGTCGTTAACTTGCTGAGAGTCGTTAACTTGCTGAGAGTCGTTAACTTGCTGAAAGTCGTTAACCTGCTGAGAGTCGTTAAGTTGCTGAGAGTCGTTAAGTTGCTGATAAATCAGGGACTCATCAGAATCAGCAATAACTATTTAGTTGCTTCCTGTCCATCCTGAGCATGCATCAGGATATTTCCTGTCCAGAGCTTTCAGAATAAAGTTCCTCAGTCTGATTGTCATCTGATGTGTCAAAATAAAAGCCTTGAGGGACAGGGATTTGGAGGTGGACCTCCTGATGTTCTTGTCGGTCATGAACCTGTTCAGATTCTCTGGAGTCGGGGACCAGAAGCTGCTAGACTTTGGAGGAAACGAGTAGGAGGTTCTGCTCTCTGGACCTCATGCTCTGGTTCCAGCTGGAGGCTCCTGTGGACCTGCAGTAGATGCTGACTTGCTTGTGGACAGTAAAGTTTTTGAACCCAGTCATGTGTAGAGACCGATCAGGGACACGTGGACCGGTGTCTTTGTGCCTTTCCTCCAGGACTCTGCTTGTTACTAAATAAAAACATTCATTAAAACCAAGTTGTCCTCTTCTTCACTGACGTCCACCTGAACGTGTCCACCGCTTTACCTGAATGTCTTCGTCCGCTTGGCGACGGGGATGTGAAAAACTCTGTGTCTCCACGTAAGTAAACCATGTCCACACCGACTCCACCAGGTCTTCAAACAAACAACGTCCAGAGGTCTTCATCACTGTCCTAACATGTCCACCTGAAACATAAGACACTGTCCTAACATGTCCACCTGAAACATAAGAAAATGTCCTATCATGTCCACGGTCCGGGATCTTTCTGGGTGGACTTTGCATGTTGCTGCTTGGGTTTTCTCTGGGTACTCCGGTTTCCTCCCACAGACCAAAAACATGCATGTTGGTCTGACTGGTAACTCTAAATTGTCCCTAGGTGAGAGAGAGTGAATGGTTTGTCTCTATGTGTCCCTGTGATGGACTTGCGACCCGTCCAGGGTGTCCCCCGCCCCTCGTACAGTGATTGCTGGACATGGGCACCAGCGACCCCCGTGACCCAAAATGGAAGAAGCGGGTAAAAGATGATGGATGTTGACACTGATCCCCCAGGCTGGTCTATCATCATGTGGTCACATGGTCCTTCTGGATGAAACCCTCATGTGGTGTGAGCTGTTGGCCGCCAGGTGGCAGCACTGCACCGTCAAAATGTTAAAGAAGCTTTTTTTAGGGCGGGGTCTTGTCAGCAGAAAGAGCTAAGAGAGGGTTCTTAGTCCAAAGATTGACTTATTAGCACGAAGCAGGTGGAGCTAAAATGTTCCTCCTAATTTATTAAGACGGATTTATAATCCTGAAGTCGACACCCTTCTCTTCAGACTCATATTTGTTTTTTTCATCAAAGTGAAAGGAGAGAGAAGGTCAGGGTGGAGAGTGGGCAGGCAGGTGGAGAAGTTCGGGGTGGAGAGTGGGCAGGCAGGTGGAGAAGGTTGGGTGGAGAGTGGGCAGGCAGGTGGAGAAGGTTGGGTGGAGAGTGGGCAGGCAGGTGGAGAATTTCGGGGTGGAGAGTGGGCAGGCAGGTGAAGTTCGGGTGGAGAGTGGGCAGGCAGGTGGAGAAGGTTGGGGTGTACAGGTGCCTCAGATCTTAGTGGTGCTTGAAAGTTTGTGAGCTCTTTATAATGTTCTATATTTCTGCATCAACCTAAAACATCTTGAGATTTCCACCCAAGTCCTCGCAGTAGATCAGAAGAACCAGTTAAAGTGATGAGACCAACATTGGAGCATTCTGCTGTGGTTGACTGATGGTCACATGACATCAGTGAGGGATTATGGGTAGAATTTATATTCATTGTTTTCCACTTTGGTTAGATGTTCAGCACGTTCTTGTAGTGATCTTCTCTTGTTGTCTTGGTTTATGTCGTTAGTGTTAGTTGTGTTGGGCCTGTTGGTTTGACAGAAACCAGGAGCGAGGGAGGAAGCGCTCCAACACCTTTGGGGTTCAAGAACCACTCGCCTCCTTCAGAAGCTGAGCTGATGCAATACAACACTTGGTCGTTTATTTATTGGGGAAAATGATCTGATATTAAATATCTTCTTCAGTTTAATTCAGTCTCTCAGAAAGTAGAATATCTCAGAGCTTGTGGCAGCACGGAGAGCCCTTGAGCAAGGCCTTTAACCCCGACCACCTGCTCCCAGACAGGACTCTGTAGAAGATGAGTCCTCGTGACCCGAGAGACGACCTGTGGAAGTACAGTGAAATAAAAATATAAAAACTGTGCGTGTTTAGTTAGTAAACACTAAATACTGTTAGTAGCTAGTTGGTACATGTACTACAGGAGGAGTACATGTACTACAGGACGAGTACATGTACTACAGGAGGAGTACATGCACTACAGGAGGAGTACATGTACTACAGGAGGAGTACACGCACTACAGGAGGAGTACATGTACTACAGGAGGAGTACATGTACTCCTCCTGTAGTGCATGTACTACAGGAGGAGTACATGTACTAAAGGAGGAGTACATGTACTAAAGGAGGAGTACTGTAGTACATGTACTCCTCCTGTAGTACATGTACTACATGAGGAGTACATGTACTACAGGACGAGTACATGTACTACAGGAGGGGTACATGTACACCTCCTGTAGTTCATGTACTACAGGAGGAGTACATGTACTGCAGGAGGGGTACATGTACTAAAGGAGGAGTACTGTAGTACATGTAGTTTTCAGGGTTGTGATGCGTTTTCCTGCCGTCACTTGTAAATCTCTTTGTGCACGTTTTGATCTGAGCTTTGATACTAAAATAACAACATGAAGGAGGTGCAGACTAAAACAACATGAAGGAGGTGCAGACTAAAAACAGACATGAAGGAGGTGCAGACTAAAAACAGATGGTCTTAAAATAGAGCAGAGAACAGAAATATCTGCTCCTCCTCCATCTCTGGGCTCATTTCTCCTTCCTGTCTCTGAGCCTGCAGGAGGCGTTCACTGACTCGTCCTTGGGGAGGAAAGTGGACCACCATGGGTTCACACAGTTCAAAGCTTCTCTGAAGAGAACCAGGACCGGCAGGAGAACCTGCAGGTTCTCCATCCATGGATGAATGGATGAATAAAGGGGAGGGGCAGCAGCCCTTCAGGCAGAACTGCAGAGTAAAAAGTGAGCCTCAGACCAACAGTCTCTGTGTGAAAACTAGAACTTGTTGACCCGTGAGCAGCAGGAGGTTCTGACGGTACCACAGGTTCTGTTTGAAGGTTGTACAGGGTCTGATGGAGGACACATGACCTGTTTGGAAGTCAATGGAGTTTGGGTTTGTGACCTCTGAGAGGACACCATCAGTCCTCCAGCAGAGACACTCGGGGTGGACGGAGACAGAAAGACTGAAGACATGAAGAAGAGGAGATGTCATGAGACTGGAACCAGAACTTTCTGTGTCCCGTCAGTCCAGTCCTCCATGGTCACCTGTGGCTGTGCAAACAGAACTTCAGTCCTGGACAGTCCAACTTCCTGTGACCCGTTTAGACTGCTGGTTCTGAAGGCTCAGCTGCAGGTCCACAGAGGACTGGGACATCTCTGGGGGACAGATGCCCTCATCTTTGTTTTTTTGTCGTGTCTCTGGTTCTTTGTGGACTCGTGTTCTGACCCAGTTCCTGGTTCTGGATCAAAATGTAAAGATGGAGAAATAAATGGGTGTCAGAATAATTTAGGTGTTTTTGTTGTTTCCCAAACAAAGTGAGTCTTCCTGTAGGACTCATCGTCCTCGGACCTTCATCCCCCAGACAGAACCAGAACCTCTTGTTGGGTTTTATCATCAGAACTCGTGTCACCCATTTGAAAATTGTCCTTTGGTTAACTGCACAGTCATACGTGAGAGAGTGAACAGGAGGGGACTCAACACACATCCCTGAGGAGAGCCAGTGCTGAGGGTTATGGTGGAGGAGGAGAAGTTGTGGATCCTCACTGACTGTGGTCTGTTTGTTAAGAAGTCTAGTACCCAGTTGCAGATGGAGGGGCTTAGTCCTAGTGTGGATAGTTTGTCCATCAGGGTTTGGGGGATCATGGTGTTGAAGGCGGACGTGAAGTCCACAAAGATCATACGGACGTAGGAGTCCTTCTGCTCCAGGTGGAAGAGAGCAGTGTGGACCACAGAGGAGATGGTGTCCTCTGTTGATCGGTTCTCACGGTATGCATACTGATGAGGGTCCTTGTTGATGTTTGTTCTGATGTGAGTCATGACCAGTTTTTGAAGCATTTAGCGACTATCAGGGTGAGGGATACTGGTTGATAATCATTCAGACCAGTCACTGTAGAGCTCTTTGGGACTGGGATGATGGTGGTGGTCTTCAGGCAGGTGGGAACCTGGGTGAGGAGGGGTTAAATATGTCAGCCAGCACCTCACAGAGCTGATCGGTAAATTCTCTCATCGCCTTCCCGGGGAAGTTGCCTGGGCCAGTTGTTTTGTGAGGATTAATCCTCCTGAAGGTCCTCCTCACTTTGGTTGAGGTCACGCTGACAAGCAGGTCTTAAAGATGTAAAAACCTGGATGACCCTACATTTTCTGCTGACACATTGTCTAGTTTTAAGACTGGGTTTAAGACTTTTCTTTTTGGAGAAATTCTATAGGTAGGGTCGGCTTGGGTTTCCTGAGCTATCCCTTAGTTCTGCTGCTATAGACAAACTGGTGGAGGGACAAACTGACCACATGTCCTCTCTGTCTTTACTTACTCTACCTGTTTGTGATTAGTTCTATCTTAATAAGTTTTTGTTTTTTTTACTCCTATAGAAAGTACACCTGGATTATAGAAAGTACACCTGGACTATAGAACTGTAGAAAGTACACCTGGATTATAGAAAGTACACCTGGACTATAGAAAGTACACCTGGACTATAGAAAGTACACCTGGACTATAGAACTATAGAAAGTACACCAGGATTATAGAAAGTACACCTGGACTATAGAAAGTACACCTGGACTATAGAACTATAGAAAGTACACCTGGACTATAGAAAGTACACCTGGACTATAGAACTATAGAAAGTACACCTGGACTATAGAACTATAGAAAGTACACCTGGACTATAGAACTATAGAAAGTACACCTGGATTATAGAAAGTACACCTAGACTATAGAACTATAGAAAGTACACC